GGTAGTGTCCCTACTTCTGAGCCAGAAGGTCCAGGTTCAAGTCCCAACTGTTCCAGAGGTGTGTTACAACATCTCCATACAGGTTGATTGGAAAATAACCAAAGTGATTAATTTGTGTGAGAGGGAAAGTGAATTAATGTTCCTCAAATGACTGTTTCTTCAAAAACTAAATGAGAGTAAGCCAGTCCTGATCATCATCCAGAGCCCATAGTAAAGGTACACACACATGTACAGGAACAGGCCGTCTCTCTTAAAACATTTGTCAATTGCCTGTACAATAACATGGTACATTCTGCCCATTGAATCCATGCTGGCTCCTGAAGAATTATCCAGTTGGTACGATCCAACTGCTCTTTCCCTATATCCCCACAGTCCCCTCTCTGCCCTAAATTCAGATGTAGACAATAGCTGCTGTGGCAAATTACTGGAAGTCTCAGAACAAGGCACCAAAGGACAACACAAGGGACCAAAACGTTGATGTGGTAACACAAGGATCCGATTGCTCATCGCTTTGGACAGGGAACATCTTTTAAAGTTTTCAAAATGAATGTGTGCCTCTCAACAAAATGTTTTAAAGTCCAAAAGTAAAACAAAAAAAAAAAATCAATTTTATCCAGCACTGCCATTAGATATATTGGCTCATTAACCATCAACAAAACCATGTACATGACAACGCGCCCACACGGCCAACCTTCCTCAAAACAGCATGAGACTGGGTGGGGAAACGTGTACCAAGTAGACAGAGCCTCAAAGAGCAATGTACAAATCCACCACAGAGAAACTGAACAGTTAGACTTGCATCTCCTCAGTGGTTTATTTAAGATATATTTTAACAAACACAAAGAGATTGAGAAACTCAGTGGGTCTCACAGCATCTGTGGAGAGTGAAACAAAGTTACCATTAAATCCTGTGACCCTTCAGAACTACAAGCAATGAGTAAGAGATGGCATTTATGCTGATGACCAGGGGCAGGAGAATGAGGAGGAATGAATGGATAGGAGGGGCAATAGAAGGGATAGGACAGAGAAGGGCACGAAAGGGAGGGGGAGAGAGGGCAGCATGAGAAAGAGATGGGGGGGAAAAACACTGAGGGGGCAGGTGTGACAGGAAGAGGGGCACGAGAGAGAGAGGAAGATGTGTGACAGGGAGAGGGAGAGAGCTGAGAGAGAGGGGTGGGAGGGGCTCATCCCTCCTTAGAGAGGGGTTGAGATAGAGTAAAAGAGGGGAGAAAGCGAGAGAGCGCGCGAAAGAAATGTCCCAGGTCAGCTGTGAAACTGCACTGCACTGTTTGCTCAAAGATAACCAAATCTCCAGAGATGTTTGTAACTTCACAGTCAACCAGCTGTGAAAGTTCACTTCTTGGTTCTTTTGATGCTTTCTTGTTGATCTTTAGAGCCATTCTCCAACCTCTGTATGTGCTCACTCTCCCAAAACTTTGTTTCCTGCTCTCCCTTTCCTCCCATTTAAAGTATTGTTGTTCTTGATTTTATTTTAAAAGGTTCCAAAAACAGTGCAAGACTTACAAAAATAGTAATAATTGCTCCAAGAAAGTGAGGAAATCAGCTCCAGCACTGAAAAACAGAATCACAAAAAAGGAGCAGCTCAGACAGCCAGGATCCTCTCCCTATCCACAGACAGGAGTCAAACGCAACTAGATCAGATTGGGATTGCTGGTCAGCAAAGACGAGGTGGACAGACAGATAGACTCAACTGCAGTACTACTGATCGAGCCGGTCGGGTCCTCGAGCACAGCTGCCCATGGGCTTGCTGCAGGTGGTGAGGGAACCAACAAAGATAAACATACCTGTCCTCCTCCTTACCAATGTGCCGGCTGCAGATATATCTGTCTGTGACAGTATCGGTAAGAGTGACAACTGCACCCTTGTGGAGACAAAGTCCTGCCTTCACATTGAGAATACCCTCTATTGTGGCACCATCACCATGCTAAATGGGACAGACTTTGTACAGAACCAACAACTTAAGACTGGATATCCGTGAGGCAGCAGAATTGCACACCAACACAATCTATAATCTCAGCATATCCTCCACTTGACCATTACCATCAAGCCAGGGGATCAACCTTGGTTCAATGGAGAGTGCAGGAGGATAAGCCAGGAAGAGCACGAGGTGTACTTGAAAGTGAGGTTTCAAACCAGTGAAGCCACCAAACAGGACTACTTGCATGCCAAACAGTAAAAGCAGCAAGTTATAAGCAGAGCTAAGTGATCCCTCAGCCTCAGGTCAAATCTAAGCTCTACAGTCCTACCACATCCAGTTGTGAATGGTGGTGAACAATTTACCAAATCACTGGGAAGAGTTGGTTCTGCAAATATCCCCATCCTCGTTGATTGAAGAGCCCAGCACATCAGTGCAAAAGATAAGGCTGAAGCATTTGCAGCAATCTTCACCCAAAGTGACAAGGGAGGTGATCCATCTCTGCCTCCTCCAGTGGTCCCCAGTATCACAGATATCAGTCTTCAACCAATTCGATTCACTCCAAGTGATGTTAAGAAACAGTTGGAGGCACTAGATACTGCAAAGACAACAGGCCCTGACAACATTCCGAAAATTTGGGCTTCCAAACTTGCTGCACCCCTAGCCAAGCTGTTCCAGTACAGTTACAACAGTGGCATCAAGCAGACAACATGGAAAATTGCCCAGTAGGTCCTGTACACAAAAAAACAGGACAAATCCGACCCAGCCAATTCCCACCCCATCAGTCTCCTCAATCATCAGTAAAGTGATGGAAGGTGTCAGTAACAGTGCTATCAAGCAGCACCTGCTCAGTGACACCCAGTTTGGGTTCTGCCAGGGCCACTCAGCTCCTGATCTTATTACAGCCTTGGTTCAAAGATGGACAAAAGAGCTAAATTCCATAGGTGAGGTGAGGGGAGAGTGACAGCCCTTGACATCAAGGCTGCATTTGACAGTGTGGCATTAAGGAGCCCTGGCAAGGGTATCAGGAAAACTCTGCAGGTTGGAGTTATAACTGGCACATAGTAAGGTTATGGTGTATGGAGGTCAGTCATCTCAGCTCCAGATCACTGCAGGGATTCTTCAAGGTAGTGTCCTAGGCCCAACCATCTTCAGCTGCTTCATCAATGACCTTCCCTCCATCATAAGATCAGAAGTGGGGATGTTTGCTGATGACTGTTCAGTATCATTCGTGACTCCTCAGATACTGAGACAGTCCGTGTTCACATGCAACAAGATCTGGACAATACCCAGGCTTCAGCTGACAAATGGCAAGTAACATCTACACCACAAATTCCATGAAGTCGACCACCACCAATGAGAGATAATCTAACCATCACCCTTGGACATTCAATGCTGTTACCATCACTGAATCCCCCACTAAATCAACATCCTAGGGGTTATCATTGACCAGAGACACAACTGGAGTTGCCACTAATAGTGGTAAGAAGTGCAGGGCAGGGACTAGGAATACTGTGACAGACGTCCTGACTTCCCAAAGCATGCCCATGGGGTGTAATGGAATGCTCCCCACTTTCCTGTGTAGCTCCAACAACACTCAAACTTGACACCATCCCAAGACAAAGCAACCTGATTGGCATTACATCCATAAACATCTGCTCCCGCCATCATTGATGGTCAGTAGCAGCAGTGTGTACTATCTACAAGATGCACTGCAGAAATTCACCAAAGATCCTCAGACAGCACCTTCCAAACCCACAACCACTTCCATCTAAATGAAAAAAAGGACAAGTGTAGCAGATACATGGGAACACCACCACCAAGTTCCCCTCCAAGCCAGTCACCATTCAGAGTTGGAAATTTATTACCACTCCTTCATTGTCACTGGGTCAAAAGTCCTGGAATTCCCTCCTGAACGCCACTGAAGTCTACCTACAGCACATGAACTGCTGTTCAGTGTGTTGCAGTTCAAGGCAGCAGCTCACCTTCTCAAGGGGCACTAGGGATGGACAATAAATGCTGGCCCAGGCAGTGACAACCACATCGCAATGACTGAAACAAGGTATTTGTTCAGGCATATTGTTATCTCACACCCCTGCACCACAAGTCCTTTAAAGTGTACACCTGGGTCAATTACAGTACTTGTCTAAAGTCACTTGAATCCAGGCCTCCTGGCTCAGAGGTAGGGATACTACCATTCTGCCACGAGAACCCTCAAAAGTTGCTTTTAAAAATGGAGGTAGGCTCAATGGAGTATTGTGCATTATCAGCCAACGTAATACACCCCTACCTCCCTGAAATGTGACCGTCAGCTCCTGTTCCTGATCTCTATTTTCCTCCAAATCAAATTCACTCACCCCCAGGTAGGTGTCCATTTGATTGGGTGCAAGCCACTGTCTGAGAAACATCAATAAATATCAGCCAAACCTAGAACTGCTTCACCCATTACTGATCACTTCACAGCAGAGGATCATACACAGGTAAGTCAGTGTGTTCCACAAGTATGTTGTGCACCTTTATCTCAAATAAATCACCTGATTTCCCTTTTTTTTTTAAAAAGTAGTGTAGATGGAGGTAGACAAATTTAGTGCAGCAGATGGGATTGAGGATGGCTAGCTACTATAGGGGTTTCAGATAGAGAATCTGGTACTCCTCTAGCTCAGGTTGACAATAATAGATCGTCCCCATGTTTACCAACTTCAGTCAGGCTACACTGATGTTGGAAAGGGGTCATTACTGCAATCTCTCAAATCATGCAACATAGTGGGGGCCATTCTGTCCATTGGAAGAGCCAACACAGGTGTACAAACCCTGTATCCCCTCCCAAGCGCTGTCCACAATCCTTCACATTTACCCAATTTCCAGCAGTTAAACCACTTCCTTTCTGGAATTACCTGTTGAATCCGCTTTGAGCCCTGTCAGACAATACATTCCAAATTGATAACAAATTGCTGCTTTTAAAAACAAACACTCTTCACACGGCTCTGGTCTCCGTATGCTTTAACCAACCGGAAGGAGAAAGCTGAAATCTGGCAGCCCTGATACTCAAAAGAAGTCACAAAAATTGTATATAAAAAAAAGGATTTATTGAAACTGTTGAATGACAAAAAACAGACACAAAACTAAAGGTTTGGCTTTGCTGAGAAAAAACTGTGGTGATCTTTTGTACAGATGAAATATTGACTAGGAATACAGTCACCCCAAATATGAAAGTAAAACTCTGTACATTCACTAGGCATTTTTTTTTCCCACCCCAAGTCAATTTTACTGACTTCACCAAGATAAGAAAATACAATTCTGTATTAGTAAGATGCCCTCGAATGTATGAAAACATGCCCATTCAACACTACGTGCCAGACTTATTCTTCTGCATAATGAGGCTTGTAAAAAAATTCAAAGTGTACAGCACAAGGAGGAAATAAATGCAGGCATTTCTTCTCCTCTATGGTATCAGGTTATATTTTACAGACCAAAGAGTAGTACACAGTTGCTGGGAAATAGTTTCAAATGTAATTTTTGTTTATTACAACTGTAATCACTACCAATCATCAATTAGGACTAAATTCTAATGGGTGCCATTTTCAGAAGCCAAGCTACCGGTGAGGTTGCAGGGAGGGGGTTTTGGCAAGATGGGGAAAGGAAGGGGACAGGACAAATGATATTTGGTCACCATCTAGAAAAAACATGACCTCACACCAACAGGGTGTGAGAGAAGGGTTTGAGGTTGGGGAGAACAAGATAGGAACAGTGATGGTGAGGGGGCACATTTTAGAAAAAAAAAGGCGGGGGGAATATGTCAGCTTTGCTTTCTAAAACTGGCAGCCATTTACTGCACAGTACACACACACACTCACACATACACACACACACAACCTCTTCTCCTGTTGTTGCATTTTGAAGATGCCATTTGGTACATGTTGCTGTGGTAATGATGATGTCAGATATGAATTTTTAATGGCTGCTCCACCCACCCAACATCATTTCAGTTTTGTTTCAGAAGAAAAAGAGACAATATGACTCAATGTTGGACCTTGCCCATGCCTGTAACTCATCCAAATTCACAAACACCAAAAAAAAATAAAAAAAAATCAAAATTAAACATCCCTGAGCAGCAGTAATGGGAGTTTTCTTCCAACTCATCATTCCCACAGCAACACTGGGGCGGGAGGGAATTTGGGGTGGGGTGGGGGAAGGGGAAGTGGTAGAGAAAACAGATAAAAACAAAATCACAGTAGGTTAACATCCAAAATTTAATCATCTTCTTCGCCTTCATCCTCAGGATCTCGTTTCCTCTTCTGTCCTTTGATCCCTATTTCGGAAGGAACAAGGAAGTATCAAAAACAAAGTCCACAGAGCATCCTATACAAGTAACAGCCAGTTTCTCCTCAAGCCCCAGGCTCCTTAATATCCCTTTAGGTACCATTGGGGAAAATGAATGGTTTTTAATAAAAAGGGAATGTTTGGCATCCTTATTCTTCCCCGCCCTCACCCTCTCTGAAGTATCTGGTTCAAATGTGGCATGACCATAGAGTCATGCAGCATGCAAACGGACCCTTCAGTCCAACTTGTCCACGCCAACCAGGCATCCCAATCTGACCCAGTCCCTTTTGCCTGCATTTGGCCCATATCCCTCTAAACCTTTCCAATTCACATACACATCCAGATGCCTTTCACATGCTGTATGTGTGCCCGTGAGTCCGACAGTTCTCAACTGGAGATTAAACATGTGACCCTTCCGGTCTGTTTAGCTGTGACAGACTGACCACAGATTGTTGAGCTATCACTGTTACACAGTGAACAGCTTTGATCTCCTTGAAAGGAGATAACTGTATTAGAAGTCAGTGCTGAGACAGCATTCACTCCAGCCAATTCCTGGGATGACCAAGTCTCTTTAGTGAAGACAGGTTGAACTGGTTGGGCCTGTACTCCATTGGAGTTTGGAAGAATCGGGGCAATCTTACTTGAAAGATGGAGGGTCTTGAAACCAGATATGGACAGGTCACTTCCCCTGGTGGGGGACGCTAGAACTAGAGGAACAGAGTCTAAAAGTAAGAGGTCTCCCACTTAAAACAGCGCAGTCTCTATCCCACCACCCTCAACCTCAGAGGGTGGTTAGTTCATGGAACACTTACAGACTGAAAAGGCTGGGTCATTAAACATTTGATTCTCTTCAGTCAAAATTTAACAGGTCAATAGGTAGGATGTTGAGGTACAGTGGTAGCATCCCATCACTGAGCTAGGAGCTCCAGTTGTAAGTCCTACCTTCACCAATGAGATCCTAGATGATCTTGATAATCCTCAACTCCATTTTTCTCCATAACCCTCAATTCCCTTCCCAATTAAAAAGTCCCTCTCTCAGCTTTGAATATATTTAACAATCCAGCTGCAAGAATTTCAAAGATGCACCACCCTTGAGAGAAGAAATTTGCCAGGGTTGGAGGGTTTGAACTATAGGGAGAGAATGAATACGCTGGGCCCATTTTCTCTGGAGCGTCGGAGGCCGAAGGGTGACCTTAGAGAGGTTTAAGGTCATGAGTGGCACATGGGGAAGCAATGACCTAGTGGTATTATCGTTGGACTGTTAATCCAGGGACCGAGATAACATTGAGGATCCAGGTTCGAATCCCGCCATGACAGATGGCGGAATTTGAATTCAATAAAAAAAACCTGGAATTAAAGAGTTAGTTGATCACCATGAAGTCATTGTCGATTGTCCGAAAAACCCACCTGGTTCACTAATGCCCTTTAGGGAAGGAAACTGCCATCCTTACCTGGTCTGGCCTACATGTGACTCCAGACCCACAGCAATGTGGTTGACTCAACTGCCCTCTGGGTAATTAGGGATGGGCAATAAATGCTGCCTGGCCAGCAATGCCCTCATCCCGTGAATGAATAAATAGGGTAAATAGCCAAAGGGTTTTCCCCAGGAGTCCAAAACTAAAGGGCACAAGTTTAAGGTGAGAGGGGCAAGATTTAAAATGGACCCATGGGGCAACTTTTTCATGCAGAGGGTGGTGTATGGAATGAACAGCCAGAGGACGTGGTGGAGGCTGATATAACATTTAAAAAGGCATCTGGATGGGTATATGAATAGGAAGGGTTTAGACAGATATGGGCCAAGTGGGGCTAAATTAAATTTAGAATGCCTGGTTGACATAGTTGAGTTGGACCAAAGGGTCTGTTTCCATGTTGTACGACTCAGTGACTCACTGGTCTTAAAACGTGCAAGGATAAGAACACCCTTATTCCGAGATTATATCCTCTGGTCCTGGATGCCCCCAAAAGGGGAATCAACTTTTCCACACCTACCCTGTCAAGTCCCCCAAGAATCTTGTAAATAATACCAAGCCTTTAGATTTGAGGGTCTGACAAAAACCATGAAATATGATCCTTTAAATGGAGCCAGATTCACACGTAACAAAATGACTGTGAAACTGGTCGCATAGATTAACTAGCATCAGCTCCTTTGCTGATTAAAATGTGTGTTGCCTCAATTTACTTTAAAAGCACAAGGTGAGGTACCTGAACTGGTTTAGTGTATTAGATGTGTACATTAATGTCAATACCCTGGTGTTAGAATTCACAGATCAGGAAACATACCTTTTGCTTCTGTGAGGAGGAACACCCAACTATCAAAAAGCAGCGAGCAGGAGTTTGTGATACTCACCTGTTTGTTCATCCTCTTCCTCCTCTTCGTCTAATTCACCATCGTTGAAGTCCTCTTCCTCTTCCTCCTACAAGAGGAAAACAGCCCTCTTGTTAATTGGTAGTAACAACAGACCACAAAGTGCTCTGTTTAAGTTGACCAGTAATTGGGACTGTTCTTGCCTGCAACAAGGCTGAGAGATGGAGGCCCATTTCTGGGTGAAAATGCAACAGACTGCATTTCTGTTTGGCCTTTGGTAATACAAAGCACGTTGACTGAGGTGCCTCACAGCAATGTTGTCAAACAAAATATACATTAATGAGATATTCAAAACAGATGATCATAAAAAAACTAGGTTTTAAAGGAGCAAGTCATACAGTACGCAAACACACCCTTTGTCAGCATGGACTGGTTGGACCAATATTCACAAACTATACTAGTTCTATTTGCCTGGGTTTAGCCCATATCCCTCCAAACTTTGCCAATTCATGAACTTATCCAAATGTTTTTTTATATGTTGTAATTGTACCTGCACCCACCACTTTCCTGGTAGTTCATTCTGCACACAAACCACTGCATCAAAAGCAAACTTCCCTCACGTTCTTTTTTAAAATCTCTCTCCTCTCACCTCGATATGTCCCCTTGTTTTGAACTCCCCCTAGGGAAAGACCCCTATTAGTGCCCCTCGAAGTACTGGAGAAGTTCAGGGAGTGAGCTCTAAGCTCTGAGGCAGAAGCAGCTGAAGGCACAGTCAATGGTCACCCAGTCCAAAGTACACACTGCACTGCGTGGGGTGTTCTCCCCTTGGATGAGATTTAACGGAAGTGTATAACTGGGTGTAAAAGGGATCCTGGGATCATCAACCCGTTTGCCCACAACGAAAATTCCTCACTGCTGTGCACAACACGGCTACACTGTCCCAGCACAAAACAGAACTTCTCCCCTTAGCAGAGGGATCAGTGCCCAGGGACAGGAGGTTCGAGATGCAGGAGCAAGATTTTTCATCCAGAGGGTGGTGGGAATCTCGAACTCACTGCCTAGTCAGGGTGGTAGAGACAGAAACCCTCAATATTTTTAGTAGTGTTTAGGTATACGCTTGTGATGCGTATTATTTAAGGTCAAGTGCTGGAAAATTGGATGAGAATAGTTAACTGGTTATTTTTCACAGGAGTAGACTCAATGGGCCAAAGAGCCTTTTTCTATGCTGTTGACCTCTACCGCAATGCACACTTTTAAAAGCGATTCAATGCACTCAGAAGTATTGAAAAGTTTGTACAGTAAGAAGTGTAAGTCTTCATCTAGGGGACTATGTTTTTTGAACCATTGTTCTTTCTCCTTTGCTTTCAAACCAAACAAGATCCATATTTACATACAAAGAACAATCTCCATTCTCTTACACGATGCCAGTCTATTCCCAATGAGACTCGAATCACTTTCTCCAGTAAAGCAATGTAGTAAACAAACAGCTTAGGAAATGCTGAGCTTTTATAATAAGCGATAGTTTTCACCCCACACGATTGTACAACCACTCAAACATATGCAAAGCCAGTAGAGGGTCATAATTCCCCATTCGGGAGCTTCTCATTTTTCTTTACAAGCATCTAAAAAGAAACCCAATGTGTGAAAGCAACAGAAACTGTACAGTCTCAACTGTAAGTAGATTTGATCCAGTGGATGGACTTTGCTAGACAGAGTAGCGAGACCTCACCTTGTAAGGAACCAAGCCTGTGCTCCATGAGATCTGGCCTCTTGCACATCACCAGTAATTACAGCTTGATGCTGGCTATGCCTTTAGCTAAATGCCCTCTGCCTCTCCCTCTTCACCGTTAACTGACTACTTCAACGTTCTCGGTCATCTCTCCCAACGTTGCCCGATGTGGCTTGGTGCCAACTTTTTTCAATAACCCACACTGATGCATCTTGGGCATTTTACACAATGTTAAAGATGCTATGTAAACGCAGGTAGTTGTTGAGTTAAATTTTAGCAGCTCAGAAGGAGTGGGCAGAAATCTGCTCCCTTCGAGCTGACGTTGGAGATTAGTCAGAGGGTTGAAAGGAATGCCATCTAGCACCCCGAACTGCTGAGCTCCCCTGCCGTGAGCTTTGTGCTGGTCTTTCCAAAGCGCATTACCCCAGAGAATCTATGCTCAGTGCTGCGACACCAAATTTCAGATAGGATTGGCAATCTGATAAAGACAATCATGCCTACACTGAAAAATGTGTAGCCAGAAAACTTCCCCAGATTTTGTGGGGAGGATTTAGTAGCTATGAACTTACATAGCACTCATTCCCATATCCTGCAAAATAACTTGTAATAGGTTAGGCCCTTCCAAGTCATTCACAGGATATGGGAAAATATAAAAAGCTGATAGAAAAAAAAAATTATGAATCTGAGAAAACAGTTGAGGGGGAACAAGCTACATGGGTGAGTGGGAGAACATCTGAAGGCACGAGTTGAAGTGAGTTTGACAATATACAGGGTATGAGCACTGATGATCAAGATGACAATGTGTTGGTGGGAGAACAAGTGAAGCCCTGTCAGGGCACACGCTACTTTTAAAAAACAAAGGGAAATTCATCAGGACTGCATTTGTTACAAGGCAGAAGAACACTGCAGCTGGAAAGTCAGTTAGCTGTCAAGCCAAACTTTACTATATACCGAATTGCTCCAAGTCTGGAGGTGGATAAAATTACAACCTGCATTTACGTAGCTCCTCTCATGGCAATAGTCCTAGCGTTTTACATCCAATGAAGTACTTTCAAAGTGCAGTTTTTTTGGCAAGTAGGAAGCTGGGCAGCCAATTTGGACAATCTCCCATAAAACAGTAATGAAATAAGGTAATTTTTTTTTTGAAAAAAGTAATGCGATAGAGATTGAGGATTACCTGCCAAAACAAGAAAAAACAAACTGGGATGAACTACCCTGTTCTGTGAAAGAGTGCTGTGGATTTTGTTTTTAAAAACACATTTATCCTCAGGGACAGATGCCAGCTCAGTTTAAAAGAAGTTCCACCCAACAGTGCAGCCTTCCCTCAGCACTGCACTGAAAATGGACAATGTCAGGCACATTGTTTCATAAAGCAGGTACCCAAGGATTTGCTGCAAAAATCGACAGGCAACCCTATTCCTGTGTTTTTTTTTGGGGTGGGGCAGGGGGGCGTCTTGCTATGGTTTTGTGACCAACCCAACCTGATTAAATTTGTACAGCCGATCAAACATTGCATCTCAAAAATCAGAAAATGAACGCAATTCAATTCAAACTAAAACAGGACAAAAAAAAAGTGCATTTATATAGCACCTTCACTACGGTCTAAGAGGGCTTTGGGTACAAGATACTGACATGGTAATTCCTCAAATGCCCATGCCGGGGCTTCTCTGAACCAAACCGTACCTCTTCCTCTACACTGAGAGCCTCTTCCTCCTCTTCCCCATCCTCCTCCTCTTCATCCTCATCTTCCTCTTCCTCCTCCCCTTCTTCATCTTCATCCTCTTCACACTGAACTGCCTCATCATAATCTTCCTCTTCGTCAACTTCTGTACATTTTAAATAAAAAAAAAGTGTAATTCAATTAAATGCAACATATTAAAAAAGTAATACAAATGGTTTCTAAATGAGACATTACATCTACAATGGAGATTAGAATATTCTAAATGTTTCTAGAAGTGTGGGAAATTATGCACATGATCTAAATCAGTCATTAGTGCAACACAGAATTGGGACCAGTGGTAAATTCTCATAACTGGGTCAAGCATCTGGTCCTGCAGACTTTGTATCAGAATGAACTATTGATAACGACCCAAGAAATATACAAGTGGGTCCACACAGGAGGTGGATTTCAAAACCCACCAATATTCACATCATAGTCAGTGTCAGAGTCATACAATGTGGAAACAGAACTTTCAGTCGAACTTGTCCATACCGACCAGATATCCTAAACTGATCTAGTCCCACTTGCCAGCATTTAGCCTATATCCCTCTAAACCATACCTTTTCATGTACCCATCCAGATATCTTTTAAATGTTGTAATTGTACCCACCTCCACCACTTCTGGCAGCTCATTTCATAGATGCACCACCCTGTGTGAAAAAGTTGCCCCTTACGCCCCTTCAAATCTCTCCCCCTCTCACCTGAAACCTATGCCCTCTAGATTTAGACTCCACCCCCTCACCTTAGTAAAAAGACCTTGGCTATTCACCCCATCCATACCTTCTATTTACCCTAAACCATGCCCCTCATGATTTCATAAACCTCTAAGGTCATCCCTCAGCCTCAGACACTCCAGGAAAAATAGCCCCAGCCTATTCAGTGTCTCCTTACAGCACAAACATTCCAATCCTGGCAACATCCTCGCTAAACTTTTCTGAATCCTTTCAAGTTTAACAATATCTTCCCTATAGCAGGGAGACCAGAAGTGAACACAGTATTCTAATAGTGGCCTAACCAACGTCCTGTACAGCTGCAACATGACCTCCCAACTCCTATACTCAATGCACTGACCAATGAAGGCAAGCATATCAAACACCTTCACCACCCTGTCTACCTGTGACTCCACCTTCAAAAGGAACTCTGAACCTGTACCCCTGGGTCTCTTTGCTCAGCAACGTTCCCCAGGGGCCCTACCATTAACAGTACGAGTACTGCCCTGGTTTGCCTTACCAAAATGCAGCACCTCATTAAGTTAAACTCCATCTGCCACTCCTTGGCCAAATGCACGGGAACCAGAAAATAAAACTATTCCTCAGTCTCTCATCCCTCCCCTTTTCCTCATTTAAGAAAGATAGTGGACAGAAAATAAACAGAACATAATTTGGAGACATCCAACGTGACCACGCCAAAAACTGGTTTCAGCTACACAGCCACTTTGAAAAATCTAGAGCTGAGCTCATGAGAGTCAAGTTTCAACAGGGGAAGATTAAACTACAGTTCTAGATTCTTCCCTTCAAGGGATTATTGCTTGCCACGAAGAACCTGAAATTACAAGACCGGAGACTGTGCCCATATCAGGCTGTATTCCACAATCACGATATTGCTGCTCTTGGGACAGAGTTCAAGGACAGGCCTGCACTGTTTACAAGATCCAATACAGCAACTTGCCCAGCCTCCTTCAACAGGTGGGACCAGGGACCCCACACCCAGAGGAATGGGGTAGTGAACAGGAGCAACCTGCAAGTTCCCTTTCAAGCCACACACCAACACGACAGAGCACACTGTCACTGCATCAAAATCCTGAAACTCACTCCCGCACAGTGCCCACACAGTGCAACACAGCTCACCGCCACCTATAAAAGGGCAACTGGGTACAGGGAATAAGTGTTGGGTTTTCCGTAGGTGACCACATCCTGTAGGTAAGACAATAGAAAAAGCAAGCTATCATTTTACACAGCTGCATGCTTAAAGAGTTGAACAGAGTGAAAAAATAAATCAGCTGCAAACCTGTCTCCCCCAGCAACACTTCTACAGGAGCCCAGCCTATAGCTCAGGGAACAGCTCTCAATGGAGAGAATCTGACCTCCACAGGGTTCCTCCCAGACACTGCATTGGTCCACAGACAAGAATCCAACACTGCAGATGACAGGCAAGTTTTGTGCTTTGGTATATATTGGAGAAGTTACAGACTATGCTCAAACAAGACCTGCTGGACTTCATTTCCACTTCAGCTCAACAGAATGGAAGTTCAAAACAAGCAGATTAAGGATAAAAAAGTGCACAACAAACAAATAAATCAGAGGAGTTAGTCTCAACCAACTCATTTTTCTTGTGAAGCAAGTGTTCCAAATGTGGGATTTGACAATACTGTAGCTGGCCAATGACTGACTCTATACAACTTCATCCTCTAGCAAAAACAAATCATTGCACAAGGTTAAAATTCTCCAGCTGAAGGCAACAGGAGAGGGGGAAAAAAAAAAATAATGTTTTGTTGGTGCAAAGATTCCCCAGTTGTGTGTGTGTACACACAGTTGGAACTCTGATTAAGCCCCAGGCACTCTCAAACACAAAGAGGAGCGGAGAACCCAGCAGAGGAAAGTACATGCACAAGCAGAGGTGTTAAGTTACATTCTGATCCTTGGTTTCACAAACTGCTAGATGCCAAAAGTTCAGCAAGTTGGAGAACAGTCCAACAAGATTTACTGTTTCTCAACTTTTTTTTTTTGAAAAGAAAAATCTGTTTCCGTAACCACTACAAAGCTGGGTATGTTTATTTGACAAACTGTCACTTGATCAAGGATGTTGATGTGACAATAAACTGATATCTTAAACGTCAGGTCCCAGCATACAACTGAAAAATTACCGCAGCTTTAAACATATTTCTAGCTTTTATAGCATCTCTCTTTTAAAGCTGCAAGTTTGGTTCAATTAGCTAAGGAAGGACAAAGAAAGGATTTACACAAATATTAAAGCAGCTTTAGGACTGGAGATTCATAGGCAACTTCTGATAAACTTTTGTTATTGTTACACAAATAGAAAATAATAAAAATTACTTGCTCAGTGCAGCCCCGTTTTGCTTTCTTCCCCATCCAGTTACCAAGATTGTTTTATCTTCTAAAATTGCTCAAATTGAGGGAATTTAAACTGCACTTGTCTGCAAAATGAAGGGATTTAATTTTGTCTGATGATGCACTGGTTAATACCTCAATTATACTGTGGTTACTAACCAGTCGAATGACTGTTAACACAGCACACAACGGAACTTAGTTGAGCACACTGACACAGGGCACTACTAGTCAAAATTAAATCTTAAAATGTTGAAGCGAAACATCAGATCCCTATACAGTCTACAGGCAGTCATTTCCAGTGTATACAAGTATCAAGTTGCTATTTTACTCAAAAGATATTAAGCCAATTTAAATAAATGGGCTATACATTTTTGTGAAAGAGAAAGATCAATTCCAGCAGTCCAAGTGTCCAGTAATTGATAAGTTTTCATCCTGACAAACCCACACAAAAAAAAATTGCCAACAGATGTTTGACAAAACATTCAGAAGTGCTGGGCCAGAGAGAGGCCAAAACCTTTGTACCATTTGTTTGACCTTATGGGTGTTGAGCCAATAAGATCAGCAGCTCGGCAAATCAGTGAATGGGGCTTGTGTCGCATTCAACATGAGGTTCCAGGTTTCAATGGTTGCTGTGGAAACAGGATAAGATACTGAAACACTGAGGTCAGAGGGGAGGCCATCCAACCTCCAACATAATGGGACATGGGGCGTTGCTGGAGGATGTAGCACCCATGTGGTCCTTGATGGTGTTGTTGTCTAGGGACATATTACAAAAGCCCTCTTGCTCCTCTATTAGTCTTTCACTTTGCGATTGAAAACTGCAGCCTGTTTACAGGCTAGGCTGGAATGGAGCACGTTTGATGCACTGCATATTTCACAAGGGTATCTGATGCAATCAGATAAAAATCGAGTTGTTTTCTTGAGGGGTTTTAGTGTTTAACTATGCTGTCAAGATCATGGTCAAATTTACTCCTCTCACCCTTTATTTGGGGCACTGGGCTGCTCTAGTAAACCAGCCCTGGTTAAACAGAATAAAAACCAAAAGAACTGCGGATGCTGTAAATCAGAAACAAAAACAAAGTTGCTGGAAAAGCTCATCAGGTCTGGCAGCATCTGTGGAGAGAAATCAGAGTTCATGCTTCGGGTAAAGGGAAGAGTTGACCCAAAGCATTGAGGGAGTGTCACTGAACCTGAAATGTTAACTAATTTCTTTCCACGGATGCTGCCAGACCTGCTGAGCTTTTCCAGCAATTTCTGCTTTGGTGCCAGTTAAAACAGTTGAGTGTGCATACAAACTATTCCAGGCTTTATATGAAGTACCATTTTAAAAAAAAAGTTTCAAGGGAACTCAACTTTTAGAGCTTTTCTGATTGACCCTATGGGTCAGAGAGGACCTTCCCAGCTCAACTGAAAAAGGTTTCTTCCATAAAGTCAGAGCATGGAAACAGACCCTTCCGTCCAACTTGTCCATGCCAACCAAGTTTCCCAAACTAAAATTAGTCCTACTTGCCTGCTTTTGGCCCATACACCTCAACCTTTCTTATTCATGTACTTATCCAAATGTCTTAAGTGTTGTAACTGTACCTGCATCCACCACTTCCTCTGGCAGTTCATTCCATACACATTACACAGGGTGGTAAGAAGTTGCCCCTTGTGTCCCTTTTAAATCTTTCCCCTCTCACCTTAAAATTATGCCCCCTAGTTTTGAATGGAACCAACCCCAGGGAAAAGACTTTTGCTATTCACCTTATCTATGCCCCTCATGACTTCATAAAACTTCTGTAAAAGGGTCACCCCTCAATCTTCTACGCTGTAGTGAAGAAAGTCCCAGCCCCTCCTTGTAACTCAAACCCTCCAGTCCCCGTCAACATCCTTCTGCTGCCGTCCTTTCCCCAACACTCCAATCCATCATTGACTTGTGGCTAAAGAGCCACACCCAATTACAAGCCAATTCCTTCAGGACAAAACTGGGGACAGTTCACAGCAACAGACTGGACATTGGAGAAGGACAGACAGGAGTTTAATCACAGAAATTTTGGTGTACCGTCTTCCTCCTCATCATCATCGTCCACACCTTCTGCGTACGCTTCAGTATCCGAGTCCGGTGCCTCTTTGTCTTCGCGATCGTATCCATCGAGGTACGTCAGTTGTGGGAGAAACTTGAAGACATTTTCTCTGTAATCATTGAGGTTTGTCACCTCGCAATTGAAAAGGTCTAGACTCCTCAGGTTATCCAATTTTTTCTGTAAATAAGGTGGGTGGGTTGGGGGGGGGGGGGGGGGAAAAAAGGGAAGGGGGAGGGGGGGAAAAGGAAAAAAATCCCCAAAAGGTTTGGTTTGAAATTGGGCCAAAAAAAAAAAAAAAGACAACTACAGAACAGACAGTTCAAATCCTCCAAATATTCAGTGTTGACAGTTAGTCTGAAAATAACTGCTTCAGGAACCCCAAGAAGAATTTCCTCCCAAAATTGAGTAGCTCAAACAACACAATCCTATACAGATTACCAAGCAACTTTGATTGAAATGATCCTAAAGCCATAGACTGATCTGCAAGACTCCAGATCTAAGTGGATAGCTCCTTCAGATAGCCAGCACAAGGAAAATAGACCCAATGTCCTCCTTCTGGTTTAAGATCCCTAGAAGTGTGGGTTAACCCTAGTCTTGATGGATCTTTCCCTCCAAAGGCTTGCTCCTTGAGTGACATACTGGAGTCACCAGTGACAGCAAGTTCCAAGGAATATGGAGACAACTCTGCAGGAGGATTCTGCCTTAGAAAAGCTTCAACGAACACAACTTTGCCTGGGGCTGTCCTTTTAGGGCAGAGAAGAGAGGAAATAGTCCTCCTCACAAATAAAAAAGGTAGCGTGATATTGGAACTCTCTGCTTCAGAAAGTAGTGGAGGGGAGTTATTGAATTTTTTTTTTTTGAAAAAGGCAGAGGTAGATGGACTTCAGGGCAGCACGGTGGCTCAGTGGTTAGCACTGCTGCCTCTCAGCACCAGGGACTGGGTTTGACTCCACCCTCGCGCGACTGTGCACATTCTCCCAGTTTCCTCCCACTGTCCAGATGTGCAGGTTAGGTGGATTGGCTATGCTAAGTTGTCCGCATTTCGAGGGATGTGCAGGCTAGGTGGGTTAGCTACAGGAAATTGGAGGTTACAGGGACAGGATACAGGGGTGGGGGTGGTGTAGGGTATTTTGATTTCTTATTTACTTCACATTTGTAATGGGTTTCTTCTTTGTTAACAATCTTCATTTGTAAAGTTTGGCACTATTGTATTTTTCATTAAAAAAATGTTTTTTTTTGAAAAAAGCAAGCCCACCAGGTAAAATGATGTAAGGGGATTTATGAATCAAAACAGAAACATCCAGTGAGAATTAAAATATATGAAGAACTAGAAATCTGTCAAGCTTGTGGGAATAGTATTTATAGTTGTATTGATCAATATTTACAGCCCACCTCAGAATTGGGTATGAGATTACAAATTCAGAGTTCAGCTTTATATCAGTTGGCCACTTGCTGCAGGCTACTCACCAGAGGTTCTATTGTGCTGAGATCTTTGATTTTGTTGCCGCTGAGGTTGAGATGTGTGAGGTTCGGACATTTTTCTGCCAAAACTTCTAGCCCGCCTGAGATTCTGTTATCACTTAGTTCGAGCTATATGCAAACATTAAAACATCACATCATTAGCGCTAACACAAATTGGGGAGTCAGTACTTTTAAAAAAAGAAGTACTGGGAGCAAGAGAAAGGAATATTCAGTTCAGTCCAGTCCAGTCCAGTCCAGTCCATCAAGGGCACTCTATTTCAACATCATGTGTCCACATCTGATCCTGGACTTCCCTTGCACGTTGGCAAACAGGAATCTCTGAAGGATAATTGATTATTTCTTCTGCACAGCACTTCAGAACTAACACAAAGGTTTTAACCCAGCACAACTGGGAGTTCTAGACCATAGGAGGTTGAGAAAGATAAACTGAGACTATGATGGTACCCCAAGATCACAAAAAGCAACATCTGATAGAAGAGTTTGGTTATTCTTTTGATACCAGCAACTAACAATTTCTTTGGTAACAGATGTTCATGGAAACATGGGGGGGGAAACATGTTCTAGTGCAGCTGCACAGTTGGCTGGAGGGCTGGTTTGCCATGCAGAATGACACCAACATCAGGGGTTCAATTCCTGCAACTGATGAGGTTAACATGAAAAATTGTCCTCCTCACCATCTCCTGAGGCATGGTGACCCTCAGGTTAAACCATCATTAGTCGCTTCACTATC